CTTCTAACAATGAAACTCCATGGTTGGAGTTAATTGCTAACTGACATTTTCACCTTGTTTTTTTTTTTTAAGAACAGTTAATGATTTTCCTTCCCCTGAGAACACCGAACACTAAACACCAAGCATGAGAGTTCGGCACGCAATTAACAAGAAGGAATCTGGCTTCTGGTCAAGGCAGTCTAATTCTATTCAGGTACATAAAAGTGTTGGAAGGGACCTTGGAGGTCTTCTAGTCCAACCCCCTGCTCAAGCAGAAGACCTATACTATTTGGACAAATGGCTGTCCAGCTTTTCCTTAAACACCTCCAGTGATGGAGCACCCACAAACTCTGAAGGCAAGCCTTTCCTCTGGTTGATTGTTCTCACTGCTAAGAAGTTTCTCCTTAATTTTAGGTTGCTTCTCTCTTGTCCAACGAGTTAATACAACTGATACTCACATTGTGGGAAAAGGCATAGGGTGTTATCCAGGTGATAAGCTGGCCCAGCACCTCAGCCTGGTAATAGATGCCCTTAATGGAGAGAAAGACCTGTAGAAAAGCAGGGAAAAACAAACTCAGCCAGAAAAGTCTAAAGAGTCTAAAACTGCAGACAGGTAAGAAATGACTAGCACAAGGATGGTAAACATTTTTGGCCTGAGCATGTCAACAATTCAGAAAATGCCTAACTCAACTCTGCTGCCGTGAACAAAACAGAAACAATTCTTTACGTAGTCATTTAAAAAAAAAAAACAGAATCCAATCATGCGTGTGACCACCAGGATCTGCCACGTGCCACTTTCCTTCAGGCAGTGTTCTCACTTTGGTTGACACGCTCTGTGGCCTGCCCATCTCTTCTCGGAGGCCCACGAGGCCTTTGTTCTTGACGTGGCTTCCGAGAATCCGTGGCCTCTGAACCGCTCACAAACATATGACTTTCAAGTGCTCCAGCCAGAGGCCGTGCAGAAGCATGGCCCTTTCATGTGACTTTTGGAAGTTCAACGAGATCACACCCCATTCTCATGGGGCCTCCAGTTTCCAAAACTAGCAAAAAATCACCAGCTCTGGAGAACAGCTATTGTTGGGTGTTGGTGAAAACATCAGGGTGTGTCAGCTTTGAAAAGATGGGTCATAGGTATACTGTCAGTCCACTCCTTCGTTGACTTATTATTCTCTTGGCATGTATTGATTCGAGGGAAATCGATCAACATTTGCATCTCCAACAGGCCAGTCTCAGCTCACCTTGCGAAGACTGCGCGAGGCGATAACGAAGTTCAGAAACTCCACCGTCAGCCGACGACAGAGCTGGATGGTCTGGACGTGACACTTGCCGGTGCGTGGGAAGGTGGAAAAGAGGACGCACATGGAGAGTGCATCGTCCAAATCCCGCAGGGCGTCTACAAAGGTTGGGTACCTGCAGCCATTGAGAGAAGAAGACAAGTTCAACACTATCTCTGGTTTTCTTGCCTGTTATCCAAACTAAAGCAATATTTTACTCCCAGGGCCTCTTTGGGAACAGCGCTGCCTCTCTAGCACTGCTCACTTTCCCCTCCAAAGCCTTGACAGATTACTGATCTTGAACAGCTTCCAACTGTTACCTCTCTTTGACAATGTGATCCAACTTATAAGTTGGCTTGTTGTCTTTCAGGCGCTGCACCGTGTTCCATTCGCTCTTCCCGTAGGCTTTACGCAATTTGCGGACAAACACCTGGGGGGGGGGGAGAGAAGCATTTCACAACCCCAGACTTCCCAACATGCAGCCCCAAATTCTAAGGGTCTGGCATGCTATCCATCAGTGGGTTTCCTTCCCCTTCTGCAACAAGGAGACACTGAAATATGGGCTTACTTTCTTTTATACTAAGCAATCTATAATAATAGTGTTGCCAATTGGATGTAGTGGTGAAGGAAGCAGGCAAGAAACCAGGAGACTGTGAGTTCTAGTCATGCCTTAGGAGGAAAGCCAGCTGGGTGACTTTGGGCCAGTCCCTCTCTCTCAGCCCAACCCACCTCACAGGGATGTTGTGGGGAAAACAGGAGGGGAAGGAGTATTAGGTACGTCCACTGCCCTGAGTTATTTTAAAAATAAGAAGGGGAGGATAGAAATATTGTTCTCTGTCTCAGAATTAACTTCCCAGGGCATCCAGGTTGTTTTTAACTTTGACGTCAGCTCTGAGATCAGAAAGGTTTTTGCCCCCGGGTTGTAAGTGAAAACTGTGCTGATCAAATCATTAACACAGGAAGAAAAGGGTTTACAACTTCTGGGCAAGTTGCAGAACAGCAATTTTTGAAAAGCGCCCATAATTCCCACCCGCTCCCTCCAAAGTAGCTGTGGTGCCCAGAGGTTCATCTACAGCTTTTATCAGTTCCGGGGTCCCCCACCATCATCATACCTTATATTCCCGGAATCTGTTGACAATGGGCTCATGGAGAAGAAACTTTATGTCTTTCAAGAGGTAGAAAGTCCGAGCAGCTGTTGATCCCTTGTTCACCTTCTTCTTGTGTTTGGGCTCGTGGGGATAAATCCCCTTGAGGATGCAGAGTCGCCTGGAAAAGGAAAACGGGTGAGAACAGACTCAGCTCGCCCATCGGCCACCTTAAGATCTTGGTTGGCTTCACAGTCTAGGTTCCATTCATTTGTTCCTCAATAAGTGTCTGGTTTGGCACAGCAACTGAACAGGACAGGGACAGACTTCAACGGATAGTTAGGACTGCAGAAAAAAACAATCGCAACCAGCCTGCCTTCCATTGAGGAGTCTGTACAGGTTTATACGACTTTTCTTGCCACAGTTGTTAAGTAAATCACCGCAGTTTTTAAGTTAGTAATAAGGTCGTTACGTGTGTCTGGCTTCCCCCATTGACTCTACTTGTCAGAAGGTCGCAAAAGGGGATCGCTTGACCCTAGGACACTGCGACCGTCATAAATATGAGTCAGTTGCCAAGCAGCCAGATTGCCAAGCACCCGGATTTTGATCACATGGCCAGGAGGATGCTGCAATGGTCGTAAGTGTGAGGAACAGTTATAAGTCACTTTTTAAAGTGACTTTGCACGGTCACGAAGTTGAACTGTTGTAAATTGAGGACTCCCTGCATTTTGCAAGCCCAAACCCTGAGATAATTCAGTTAAACACACTTCAGTTAGCCAAGACCAAGCAGCATTTCCAGGTAAAGGGTCATCACCCTCTTCCCTTGAGTTTCTACTCCATTCCTACCAGGAACTTGGCACTTCCCTACACAAAGAGCCAGTGACCCACGCGAGAGGCCGCTAAATATCTCTGCCATACCTGAAATCTGGAAGGCTGAGTTGCAGTTTCTTCCGAGCTTTATTTCTGGTGATATAGTTGGTGGCCGAACCCCTCTCGTACTTTTGTAGAGGGGCAGAGGAAAAAAAGAGAGAAAAGAGTTACAATCAGCTGATCGAGGCTGGACCTGGAGCCCTGGCATTTAAGGGGTAGACTGCTCCTGGACAAGGAGGCTCGATCCTTCGCCCCATCTTCCCCGAAGCAAGCCGCTCTGCTTGATCGAGGGAGGGAGGGAGGGGGAGAGAGAGAGAGAGAGACCCGCTGGGCAGATGCGAGTTGGGAGACAGCTAAACCCGGAAGTGGCGCGTCTACATTCAGATGTTATTTTGTACACGTGATAAAGAGAGAACCCGAACGGTTTTCAGGGCGTGTCAGCCGCCGAGTAGCTCAAAGCCAGGCGGTACCTTCTTTTTCTCCAGGCCGCCCATCGTGGCCGCTCCTGCCCGCCGCCTTCGTCCACGTGAAGCTCCCCTTGCCTGGCCGGGCTAAGCCCCGCCCCTCCCGTCATCCGGAAGTCCGCCCTCCCATCTCGGAGGGTGTTTCCGGTATGGCGTGAAAGGGGAGCCCCAGAGGGGCTGCTGTGGCCTCAGGAGTTAATGGTTCGGGCTCCTCCGGGCAGGAAAATGTGAGGTTTCTCGTGGTTTATCACTGCGGGAAACTGCCCGTAGGCCGCCGTTCCGAGCAGGCACCAAATTAGAAGGCCGGAGAGGGTCCTTTGAAGAAGGGCCCTCTGGAGCGCGCAGAGCATGATGGGGATTGGCTGTCCCTGGATATAGAGCATGAGACGTTTGCTTTTGTGTAAATAATTTCCCAATATAAAGCACCTACAAAGCTGCTTTCACATGAACAAAGATATATATGAAATGATGACAAAGTATCATTATTAATATCAAGCTTGAGCATAATAAAATCCCTTCACACAAATACTCAAAACTGCTGTGATTGTCTTGGGCTCGTTTGCATTTTTTTTCCTGAGCCATCATGCATTACATTTTGTTTTGATGTGCAAACAAATAATTTGGTTTGGTAACTATTGTTTACAGATAGTGCGCTGCCTGAACTCAGCCTTTGTGGCTTACAAACAAGCAGTGGTTTTGTTGTAACACACATAAAAAGCATATGAGCATCATGATAAATAGTTTTAGCTTTTAATTTTTAATTTATTATTTTTTAAAAAAACTGCAACATAGATGAGTGAAAAGAATGATGGGATTATAAAGATTATATAAAGATAAAGATAAAATTGCTCAAGAACAAAATATGTTTCTATCATATCTTTGCTTTATTCACAGATATGTCAGATCACATATCTGTGAACTGTAATTATGAAAGCTCACATTATGTACACTTTTAAGTCTGTTTTTGATGTTTAAATCAAAATTGGTCTCACAAATGCATCCAAAATGAGCTTTCAGACATTAAAGTTAATAATTAATTATTAACTGGCTTAATAATTAATCACATTCAGGAATTCTAAGGGGCATCACAAAAATCTTGTAAAACCCCCCCCCCCATTTTAAAAGTGACTTTGGTTCAGTGGTAATTCATATTCTGCCTTAAAAGGGAAACAAAATACTGTATGCACAGATCGTTCTGTTCCTGTACCTTTTGTTCTTTGCCTGATAAGAAATTTAACCATTATCGATTTATTTAAATGGTGTTATCTGCTTTAGATATTAGCGGATTCTCTCTCTCTCTCTCTCTAACATTTATGCATTCCAACACACTTGTTGTCTGCCTTGCCTTCCAGAACACTTTCTTTTTTCTTCCAAGCCACATCCTGCAAAAACAGCTGACTTCAGCAGCTGGGAGGGGAAACCAGAGATCATATGACAAAGGGTAAACAAGAAGGCGAGGGAAAGGGTGTCTCTCCCTCTAAGCGGCTTCTGGCCCCTCCTGAGAATTTGAAAGAAGACCCCTCTAGAACAGAACCACGACCAGAGCAATTAAGGTAAGATGCATCAGGGCAGCTGCTTCTGCTGCCCTCCATGCATACGGGCTACTGGGGGATTTTCCCATGAAGAACCAGATCTGGGACGGCTGTTTTATCAATCTGCCTGTTTAAAAAAATTCAAAACTTCTAGCCCCATTGGATTCAGCCGGACCTATTTCTGGAGAAATATTGCCTTTATTGGGTGAGGAGGCAGATCCAAGAGGCAGAGACAGCCCCAGTTTTTCTGTTTCTGTTTTTAGTTTTCTCTCAATTTGTGCAAACCACAAAGTAGACCATCACGCTTTAAATGGATGGGCTGTACAGGTCACTCCTTAGGGAGGGTATTAAGGAGAGCTCAGAGCTGACTGAATAAACTATGTTCTAGTTAACAATATAGAGAGAAGAGTCTCTCGCAAAATAACTTTCTCTCAGTCTGGGTCTGTAGAAGAAGATTTGAGGGGCAAGAGATTTACAGAATGATAAGAAATGTACTTGTGCCTTAACAGGGTGGGTCTCTAGGCTGACCTGGTTTCAGCAGGACTTCTGGGAAAGTTTATGTTCTGTTATGGTTCCAATGGGACTAGATGACACATGTGCTTCTCTGGAGCACAGCATGAGACCTTGAGCCTGGCAGTCATTCTACGCTTCTAAGACGGTATAGCAAGGCTCCATCCAGTTGGACTCCTCTGGAGGTCTCCATCCCAGGGGAAGGTCAAGAAAGTCTAGATGATGGCTGCCACCAGGCAGGTCCAGCCTCTCCCTTCTGAGCAGCTTTTCCAGGCCAGGAGAGGTTCTGAGGAAGCAGTGAGAAAATGTGGGGATCTCTCTGTCCCCACTGCAATCTCTCACTGACTCCATCCGGTTCCATATATGAGGCCGAGCAGTTGCCCCCATCCATAAATCAGAGATCAAAACGTGATAACGGGAATGCCAAAGTCCCTTGGAGTCTCTCCCGGTGCTGTTTTTCCTCTGACTCAGTCAAAGTCCTTCCTCTTTTGTAGACTCAGCCATTGCTCTTGGGAGGATGCCATGACCCAGATCGCTCCTTGCGGTGATCAGTGATCTGGGATTCCTGAGGAATCTGTTTGGGATAGGCTACACCGTTATTCCTGCCTTGGTCTCTGTCGGGATGGTTTTTCTGTGGCTCCGGACGCCCTTCCTTTTCCTCTTCCACGTCCTGTTTGCATCAGTCCAACTGTGCAGTAGGTCTCTTTTTTATGATTGAGGTCGCCAGGAAATGCCTGTGAAATGGATCATCAGACTGAGTCAGGAGATCTGAGATGGAGGGTGGGACGCACAAAAGTCACCCGCGATGGGCTTATTTTCAATTTGAGCAACCTTCTACAGGTAGAGAGGGCAAGTTCTCGTGCATAGCTGTAGTCGTGCAAATTTGGAGAAGCCCTGGGCTGTAGAGATTAAAATAGCAATAATAACAGCAATCTCAGTCAGGCTATGCTGGCTGGGGAATTCTGGGAGTTGAAGTCCGCACATCTTTAAACTGCCAAGGTTGAGAAACACAGAGTATTTTAGATGGATGAGGTGCTCATAACTAGTAGGAGCCTTGATCTCGGTCTCAGACATGCTTCTTCTCTCTTTCTCTGGAAGATGTCCCTCCAGGAAACATTACGCTCATCCAGGCACTGAATTCAGAGCTCCTCAAACTGGTGGACAATGCGTCCCAGGAACCGAACCCCAGCCTCTATTTGGGCCTTCGACTTTCCAACGAACACGACCTGGGGAAGGAAACGGAGTATCTCACCCGACTGATAGACGTCTTTCAGCCTCAAAGCAGCAGGTGTGTGCAATCTGGTCCCAATCCGGAAATTTTGTCTTGAAAAATCTTCAAAAAAAAAAGGAGAGCTGCCTAGAAATTCTCCTTGGTGAAGTGTAGAATTCCTGCACGTGCTTAGAAGGCCAATGGTACATTTTGTCTTTGTGGTACCGCAGACTTTCTCAACCTTGGCAAGTTTAAGGCATGTGGACTTCAACTCCCAGAATTCTCCAGCCAAGTAATTTTGGGAGTTGAAGTCCATGTGTCTTTAACTGGCTAAGGTTGAGGAAAAAAAATGTGGTACAGTCCTCTCTCTAGCTTCCATCCTTATTCCATTCCTGGAGAAGACACTAAGATTCACTTAGGTAAATTTGTAATGTTACTAATTTACCAAGCGCACTGATTCACTTAGCAACTGTGGCAGAAAGAGTCATAAAATGAGGCAAAACTCATTTAAGAAATGCTTCACTTAGCAACAGAAATTTTGGGCTCTTGTAGTCGTAAGTTGAGGACTACCTGTAATACCTTCATCCAGCCAGACCTGCAGAATCTCTCCCGGCCTGCAGAGAAGGAACTGATGCACTAGTTCAGGGGTAGACAACCTTGGCTCTTTTATGACTCATGGACTTCAACTCCCAGAATTCCTGAGCCAGCCATGCTGAGAGGAAAGGGAGAGGTTTCCAAGCTGAGCCAGGCTGGCTCAGGAATTCTGAGAGTTGAAGTCCACGAGTCATAAAAGAGCCAATATTGCCTACCCCTGCGCTAGTTTCTTGTCTTGTTAACTTCAAATTTTTCTTGTCTCTCTTGAGCTCAGCCGCCAGAAACAGCCTGGGACGGGAGAGCTGGCACTGTACCTCCTTGCGCTGCGGGCTGCTTGTCATAACATGGACACCTCAGAGGGGAACCGAGTGGTGACCCGGCTGAAGCTTCTCTTGAATAAAGAAATGAAGCAGATCGGTAAGAATGGCTCAGCCAGCTTGGGAAGAACTCTCTCCATGAGGATCGGCGTGCTCATCCAAGACAGTAAAATTAGAGGCCACCAATGGTGTGTAGGTCAGCGTCTTGTCTGGGTTGATCTGGAAGTTAGCCTCGGGGGATAAAGAGAATGAGGAGTCAGACTAGGATGAGCTAGGAAGCCAGGAAACTGGAAGTGTGGCATTCTCAGATCGGAAGAGTCTTCAAATTGCCAAGTTTAAAGACCCCCAGCCTACATTGGAGGGGGTCTGGAAGCTCCAGGGTGGAGTGGGGTGGGATGGGGAAGGGAAACAAAACAACCCTCTTGGAAGATCAGGGATCTTGTTTAGGAAGCACTCTCTATATATATATACCTAGATCACAAGGGGAAAGGCCACCTCATCACCAACTACTACCAGTACAGCTTGGGGGTCCTGGCCTTGTGCGTTCACAGCAAGTGGACCGATCCCGAGGTGATCAGGAAGCTGCTGTTGGCTGAACACCATGGCGGATTTTATCACCACCAGACTCTCTCCATAGGTAAGATCAGCTCTGCCCAAAGCTTCCAGGTGAGGGTGCTCCTTCAGCCTTTGGGCCAAATTTAACTCTCTGGTCAGCAAGAGGTGAGTTTCCAAGTGTCCTTGGAGATGCCCAGTGCACCCGTTGCTCTTCAGGGATTGGAGGCAGTTCTCGATTAGCGACCATTTGTTGGGTGACTTATGTTTGAAGTTACAATGGCACTTATGACGTTCTTCACACTTAGGACCTTTGCAGCATCCCCAGAGTCACACGATCAAAATTCGGATGCTTGGTCACTGGTTCATGTTTATGACGATTGCAGCGTCCCGGAGTCATGGGATTTCCCCTTTTGAGAGAAGCAAAGTCAAGGGGGAAACCAAACAACCACGTTACTAACTTAACAACCTGCAGCAATTCGTTTAACAGCCGTGGCCAGGGAGGTGGTAAAAGGGGGCAAAACTCAATTAACCACCGTCTCGCTTTGCAAGAGACACTCCGGGCTCAGCTGTGACTGTAAGTCAAGGACTAGCTGAAGGAGTGAGTCTCCTTCTCTTGTGAAGCCATGGCTGGAAAGAAACAAGTTTTCTGGAACGAGCTCCCGTTGACCCATTTGCCGATTCCCCTGAGCTGTTACCCCTGGTTCACAATCTGGAAAATTGAGCTTTCACTGTCATCGCCTCCTCCCAGTTGGGTGGGACTGCTGGCGGTCTTGGGACCTCGCCCCACCTCACCCCATCCTTCTTTTCCTGTCCTTCACTCAAGACACGGAAGCCATGGCCGGGCTGGCTTTTGTCTGCTTGGAACAGACCCCCAGATACCCCCATAAACTCCAGGCCAGCGTGCGAAGGGCTGTGAAACGAGCGAAAGAAAACATCCTGAAAGCAGGGACTCCAGAGGGGGTTTATGGGAACATCTACAGCACCCCCCTGGCAATGCAGGTGAGGAGAGGGGGGTGTCCCTGGCATTGTCTTCCTCGAGGGTAGGGGATTCCTCTTGTTATGGAGCACATTTATTCATGATTAATGATGTGTAAGGGGGCGAGTGGCATGGTGGCCTAGAGGTGAAGACACTCGCCTCCTGGCTCAGAAGATGGAGAGTTAAATCCTAGGCAGGAAATGGATGTTTCTCTATCAGGGCCAAAGAGACAATATCTGCTGCGAACTCCACGTAGGTGTCAGGAAGGGCATGCAGTCAGTAAATAATCAGCGCCATTCAGTCGCCCCCCGACTCCACCCCGAAGCAAGGGAGTATAGGGTCATTAAATAAAATGACATGTAAGGGGGCGCGATGGCTCAGCTGTTAAAGACGCTGAGCTTATCAGCTTGGAAAGTTGACAGCCCAGTTCGAGAACTGAGCGCCACGCGATGGGATGAGCACCCATTCCTTGCTCCAGCTCCTGCCCAGCTAGCAATCTGAAAGCATGCAAATGTGGGTAGATAAATAGGTACCACTTGGTTGGGAAGGTATCAGCATTCAACGAGCCTCGGCATACAGTCGTGGCAACCTCATGACCACAGATAATGCTGGCTAAGAAATGGAGACGTACAGCGTTCCCTAGAGTCGGACACGGCTGGACAGGGGAAACCTTTACCTTTAATGACACATAAAGGCTGCTTTCTTCTCTAAACTTTGGTGAACTTTTTGTCTGCTTGGCAATCTAGTTTTTGAGTGCTGTCGGAATGGGGCAGAGCCAGCAGGAGTTCTCCAGAGGTCTGGGGGCCCTGATGCAGAGCCTGGAGCGGGGAGACTTCCAAAATAACCTTATCCGGTCACAGCTGCTGCCTGCCTTGTACTGCAGGAGTTACGTGGATGTTGCCAGCATGGTATGCCAAACTCAGACAGGTAAGGGAGCGGAGAAGGAGGGCACCGAAGCCGACTTGGGCTGAAGGAGAAACGTGACTGGCTAGAGCAGGGGTGTCCAACATTGGCAAGTTTAAGACTTGTGGACTTCAACGCCCAGAATATTGAATACACATTGGCTGAAATTCTGGGAATTGAAGTCCATGCCTTTTAAAATAGCCAAGGTTGGGAAAACACTGCTCTAAGCATTGTTTTCCCAGGAAATGGTTCCTGATTGTCTGTCTGTCTTTCTTTCTTTCTTTCTTTCTTTCTTTCTTTCTTTCTTTCTTTCTTTCTTTCTTTCTTTCTTTCTTTCTTTCTTTCTTTCTTTCTTCATAGAAAGTTCAGTCCCTGATCTTTCCCTGCCGCAACCTCAAGGGATCAATCCGACACAGAATATTTCTGTCCGGCTAGAAGCAAGGAAAGCCTCTCAGTTGCTGTACCAGCACGTGCTGGACGTTCCCTTGGGCTCCACTCTTCTGGACGTACTGAAAGCTGCAGCCAAAGATGTTCACCAACCTTTGAGGTCAGCGCCTTGTTCTTGTGCTTCGGGTGTGGCCAAGGGCACCTTAGCAAGAGAATGGGGTGGGATCGCTGCCTTGGGACCTCAACCCGACATCACCCAGCCAGCTCTCCTGCCTGAAATTTCTGGCCTGGTGCCTTCATCACCACGGAACTGACCCCATACATCAGGGGTCTTCAAACTTGGCAACTTTAAGACGTGGGGACTTCAACTCCCAGAATTCCTCAGCCAGCCCTGGCTTGCCTACCCTCCTTAGATACCAGTTCTCTTTTCTTGGGGTGAAACAGGTATGAGACCCAGAAAACCCTCTCTGGCCCCATGCTGGTCGGCGTGATGGGGGAGAAGCCTCAAAAAGGCGAACGCAAGTACTGGAGCATTCTGCGGCATCCTAACAGCAGCTTGGACCAAGGTGAGGACTGGATGTTTCGTGGGGGGTTGGAAGGGTGCTCCAAGATGGCACCTGGGGAAACTCCTCATTGGCCCAGGGAGCCCGATGGACCTGTTCGCTTCCCCCAGACTCACCATGTCAGAGTCATCCCAGCTCACATCACGAGACGGTCCAGACTAGCCAAATTGGAGTGAATCTGATATGAGGGGTCCTGGGTGCTCTCTGAGCTGGCTTGTTTTCTTGCAGACGTTTCATGACCCAGCTAGGGAACATCATCAGTGCTAGAAGGCAGTGGGGTTTGCGGGGAGGAGGAGGGAAAGATAGGAGGAGGAAGAGGAGGAGTGTGGGATCCTTGGTGCTCTCTGAGCTGGCTTGTTTTCTTGCAGACGTTTCGTGATCCAATTTGGTCCCATAATCAGTCCTAGAAGAGAGCAGAATTTGCTTCTAGCTCTGATGATATTGCTTAGTTTGGGTCATGAAAAGTCTGCAAGAAAAGAAGCAAGAGAGCACCAAGGATCCCACATTCCTCCTCCTCCTCCTCCTCCCCACAAACCCCACTCCCTTCTAGCACTGATGATGTTGCTTAGTTTGGGTCATGAAACGTCTGCAAGAAAACAAGCAAGCTCAGAGAGCACCAAGGACTCCTCATTTCAACCCTAAGCCACAAATATTCTCCTTTACTGGTATCCCCAGATAGCCAGAATATTCCTCATGGCAACTCTACAGTGTTGTCCTGCTTCCTTCCTCCTCATTACAGCAACATATTTGCGTTTCTGCTCCTCAGGTATTGCAGAATACACTCCGCAAGATCAGGACCATATTATCTTGAAGATGAGCTCTTGGTAGAGATGGATCCCACCCTCTGGTAGGCTGGGCTGTCTCTTCGCAAACTGCAGGCATATTGTATGGACTTGTCCTCGGAGAGTTGCAGAATGTTCTTTCCCTCACCTCTTTGAACTTGAGGACTAGGATCTTGTTTTTGAAACACCTCTTTTTATTTCGGTTCAAGTCCAGTGATGTCAAAAAAAAAAAAAGAGGGAGAGAGAAAGAAAGCACTAATACAACAATAAATTACAAAATACACAGAATTGTAAAATTTTGTAAAATTGAAAATACAGAAGGAGAATGGATGGATGGACGGGAGGAAGGAAAATAAAGCAAGAAACAAGGGAAGGAAGGAAGGAAGGAAGGAAGGAAGGAAGGAAGGAAGGAAGGAAGGAAGGAAGGAAGGAAGGAAGGATGCCTCGCCAAGGGGGCGCATGGGGACGGGAGAAAAGGCGGGGGCACCTGGATTCCTCCTGCGCGCAACTTGCGCAGGCCGCTCTGCGCCCGGGCGCTGCTGCAGTAGCGGCTCGGTGGCCAGCAGGGGGCGCGGCCGAGGCGACCGCCTGGTCCAGCTCCCGCAGCATCCGCGGCCGAGGCGCCTCCGCGAGTCCCAGCCGCTTCCAGGGTCGGGCCGGCCGGGCAGGGCGCATGGCGAGCCGAGGGCGGCCTCGGCGGGGCAGGGCGCGTCCCGGGGGCGGGCAGCGGGGGCCGCGCGAGTCCAGGCGCGCCGGGGCCGCGGCTGCCGAGCCCAGCCGGGCCTCGCGCCTAGCAGCCGCCGGGGCGTCGCCGGAGCCCTGCGCAGGTAAGGAGGGTCACCTTGAGGCGCCCTGGAGGGACCCCGCGAGTGGCAGCTTCGGCCGGGCGAGGCAGCCGAAGCGGCGGTGCGGGGTCCTGCGGGGAAAAGCGGAGGGCTGGCTGGGGCTGCGCTGTCAAGCGGCAGGTGGGGCCAGAGTCCCCGCCTGGAGAAAGATAAGGTGGGATGCTCGCTCCTTCTCCCCTCCTCCTCTTCCCCATCTCCTTTTCTCTTCCTCCTCCTCTCTTCCTTCTCCTCCTCTTCCTGCTCCTTTTCTCCTCCTCCTTTTCCCCTTCCTCCTCCTCTGCCTTTTAGTACTGATGATGTTATCTGGTTTGGTAATGAAAAAGGCTGCAAGAAAACTGCCAAGTTCAGAGAGCACCAAAATCCCAACAGCTCTGTCCTCCTCCTCCTCCTCCTGCTGTCTCTCCTCCCACCCCATCCTCCGTTTCTCCCCACTGGAGTAGTTCGAAAACCACCAGCTTCCAGAGGTACAAGCAGTCTGTTCTGCCACCTCTAACATAATCAACCCTCCTCAAAATGAGAGAAGGCCCGAGCCGAAGGGATGGAGTGCTAAGGCACCATAGCTGAACCTCCGGGGCTTTAAGATCTAGAGGGATTCCGAGAATGAAAGCCCACCCGTTTTAAAAGTTGCTGAGGGTGGAACCACTGGGCTGAATAAGGACTGAGTAACTGTGGGGAAAAATTGAAAATTTCCCAGTTGGGAATTGGGAAAAGAACGAATTGGGCTCGGAACAAAGCCTGCGAAAGGGAAGCGGCTTGCCAGGGAATATGCAATGTGGGTCAGAAGTGAACAAGGAGTTAACATTTAAAGTGCACCTCAGAAACTGACTGAGAATTTGCATCTGGGTTAGCAGTGATGGAGGCATCTTCAAAGATAAGTTTTTGTCAGCAGCTTGAGGTTTTGTTTTTTTTTTAAAGGGGAGATGATCAGGAAGAGGGGTGGTATTTATTTACATTACAAAATGCATCCTGCCCTTCCCAAGGGGAAGTTAATAGCACAGGCATTGAGATAAGAAAAAACAGTAACTCTTCCAAAAGTCAGAGGAAGGGAGTAGAGTGGACATTGACCTAGACATAGAATAACAGAGCTGGAAGGGACCATGGAGGCCATCTAGTCCAACCCCCTGCTCAGGCAGGAGAGTAAACAGAGGTAAATGAGTGAATCGGATAAGCGCATAATAAAATGGACGTTTCCGGTTTTGTTTTGTTTTTTAAATCAAGCATTTGACTGAAGAAAATTGCACCAATCTAGCTTTCCGGGCAAGGGTAAAAAAGCAGTAATTTCAGCATTAAAGGAGGCGATGATTCAGCCCTATGGTTTGGGGGAAAGATTGCTGGCTTCTCCCATCCCAACATTATTCAGGATAATGGTTTTCAAGGGTTGCCTTTCTGGCTTTTACCTCCTGGAATGTTTGAAGCAGGTCCTCATGTTTGGACCAGGGCAAACTGGGACGCTGCAGAAAACCCCCTTCCACAAAGCGATTCCTCTTTGCCTTGCTGATTTTCTGGCCAGGCAAATGGCAGAGGGGCCGGGAGGGAGGGGTGTGTGCGGAAGATAACTCGATGCCAGAGTTGTGGCCTTTTCCTGGGCCATGCCTTTTGTGAGGCAGAGTTATGGGCATAAGCTTGTCAGTGACTCACCAGCCCTCCTGCTAATGAAAAGGAAAACCAGCTTGATCTCTTTGTTTGGCTGTTTGTTTTCTTTCTTTCCCTCCAAGATGGGATTAGCTGAAGTAGTCATTCTTTGCCAGCAGAAATCTCTCATGCAGAGGGAAGGAAAAAAAAAAAAAAACACCCCACCTTCTTCCCCTGAGTTTGAGTTTCCTGGCTGGGTGCAGACATGCCGTCCCCTCCTCACTTTCCCATCTCCATTGAGAGCTGAGGGCTTTGGGGGAAGCTGCAGGAGGAGGCTGGCCCTGTGCTGCACGGATCCTAAAGAATCCTCAGGCAGGAGGCAGCGGGGGGGGGGGGAGCCCTACCCAGTGGGACCAGCAGCACAGCCCGCCCAGGTTGGGCCTTCCAGGGGCTGAGACAGCCTCTCCAGCAAGCTGAATTTGGTCTCACCACTTGGAACAGCCAGGTGGCTTCTCCTGAATTGCTGAAGCCGGAAAAGAGGAAACTGTCCAGAGAACCAGGTACTCCCCCCCCCCCCCCCGGTCTTCATAATGGTGGGAAATCTGCTGCTCTGTGGATTCCTTCCTTCCTTCCTCACTTTCTTTTCCTCCCTCCCCTCAATTGCTTGGGATGTTAACTTCAAATTTTCTTTGCACTATGTTCCCCATAAAATCCCTCTCCTATTCCTCTGAAGATCGGGATAGAGCCAATAAGGGTCTTCCAGAATGAATGGATTCTACTGAACAGTTACGAATTGCAATTTCATTTTTGCCGTTTCCCGAATACGTAAACAGGTTTGATGAACGCATTATAAATAACATTGATGATGAAACAGATCCAGCTGAGTCTTGCCTCAGAGGCAGCCCTCTTCAGCTGAATAATGAGTTTGTGGTTGTGCAGGTCTAAAGACAAAAAATATCACAAGAACGTGGACATTGATGGGGAACAAAGCACAAGGAAGATTTGAAGTTAACCTCCCAAGCAATCGAGGGGAGGGAGGGAGAGAGGGAAAAAGGAGGGAGGGAAAGAAACTGTGGGGAAGCAAGGGGGTTGCCCTGCTGTGTGGCTTCTCCTTGCAACAAGCTAAACTTGGATAGTGACACGGTCTCTTGGTGGTTGCTGAGTTTCTAAGACGACTGGATGTTTAGGAACATCTTGACTCCGCTTTTCCTTTCTCATTACTGTCTGCATTTTTTCATTTCCACAGCTCCAGGCCTTCGATGAGCTGGCCTGGCCAGACCCCAACCTCTACCTGGCTTCGGCACAGGACTGACCTCAGGGTTGAGGGTATCCTCTCTGATTCACTCCCTGGTTACCCAAAGGTGGAGCTTTCTGCCAGCCCAAACTTTGTGTCGCTTCCTCTCTTGCGTGGAGGAACCCCCACGTGGCTGAGCCCAAGCCAGCCTGCCAGGGAAGGCTGGAAGGCAGCCCAGCTGCAGCATCAGGGGAGACAACGGCTTATTCTGGGCCATTTCCGAAGGGTCTCCAGAGCTGAATGAGAAGGTCTGCACCTATCCTTGCCATTTGAGGAGCCTGTTTGTCTCCAAGACCCCAAACATCCTGGGAGTTCCCAGCATGTTCTAGACGGCCTGGGAGAAGACCACAAGGCAAGGAAAGGAAATCTGATCCTGGTGACTCACAGGGAGGGACAGAGAGCAAGAAGGCGAGAGGAAGGATCGCTCGGAAGCAGCAGCACCTCCATCAAAGGATCTGGCGGAGCAGCTCTGAGCAAGCTGCAGCCGAGCAGCCCTCCTTAGCTAGGAAAGGACGGCTCCAGACTGGGGGGAGACCCTCGGTGGGGTCTCCAAACTTTGTCCTGGTTGCAAAGAAACTCACCTCTGCCTGTGCCAGGCTGCCATCCCCAATGTGCCTGCCGGCGAGGAAGAAGCACGATGCCGTGATGGGCTCGGCCACCCCCGAAGCTTGGCTGCTCTCGCCCTGGAAGGAAGACCCCGCGCAGCCCTGGGGGCTGAGGCTGCTTTCCCGGTGGCATCACACCCTGCCCCTCGTGGCCACCGTCCTGATGTGGCTGGCCACGGGCTCTACCATGTCCAGCCTGAATAAGTGGATCTTCGCCATCCACAACTTCCGCTACCCGGTCTTGCTGTCCTCCTTGCACATGTTGACAGCTGTGGTGGTGGGCAGGCCCCTCGCCAGGCTCCAGGCCAGGGGGTCCGGACATCCGGCCCTCCAGCCCAAAGCCCGGCTCCAGGTTTTTCTGCTGAGCCTGACCTTCTGTTCCAGCGTGGCTTTTGGGAATCTGGGGCTGAACCACGTCCAGCTGGATTTTGCCCAGATGGTCTACACCACCACCCCGCTCTTCACCCTGACGCTCTCGGAGCTGCTGCTGGGGAAGCGCCACCACCCCCTGCAGTACCTGGCCATGGGCCCCATTTGCCTGGGGGCCTCCCTCAGCATCGTGGGGGAGGTGCACTTCAATCAAGCCGGCTGCTGCTTCCTCTTCGCTGCCACTTTCCTGCGAGGCCTGAAGTCCATTCAGCAAAGTAAGTGGCGCACGGAGCTTATTCCTCAAACGTGGCCCCTTGAAGATGGGTGGACGTCAACTCCCAGCATTCCCCAGTTGGGGAATTCTGGGCGCTGAAGTCCACCCTTCTTCAAATGGCCAAGGTTGAGAAACATTGTTCTACGATTGATTTGCTAAGCATCTCTCTCCCTCCCTCCCTCCCTCCCTCCTATCCATCCATCTATCCATACACACACACACACACACACACACAGGTAAAAAAGGGGATTTTACCTATGCTGGTACTTTAGAACTGGCTTTGCTACTTCTGTGTCTAATGTGGAATTATCAGTAAAGTTGTATTCTTGGTTAAAAAAAAAACCTGTCCCAGGAGTTTCTTTTGCTGCATTTATTTACCAACGGGACAGTTGACACTTCCTTTCTCTTGGCCCAGAACCTGAAGCTTTGCTGAACCCCTTGTCTGCCCCACAGGTACCCTCCTGCAGGAAGAGCACCTGGATTCCTTGAGGCTCCTGTGCCTGACTTCGCTGCCCAGCTTCTGCCTCCTCTTTGTGGCCGCGCTGGGCATGGAGGTGGGCTCAGCCTGGGAGGGCCTGCTAGCCTACAAAGCCAGCCTGTGGACCTGCGTGCTGCTCAGCTGCCTGGGCTCGGTCCTTTACAACCTGGCCAGCTTCTGCATCCTCTCGCTGACCTCCGCCCTCACCATCCACGTTCTGGGGAACTTCAACGTGGTGGGAAACCTGCTTCTCTCCCATTGGCTTTTCGGAAGCCACCTGACTTTGCTTAGCTACGCGGGCATCGCCCTGACTCTTCTGGGCGTCGTCATGTACCATCACTCTGAGCGTATCGCCACTTGCTGGCGCTTGCGGGCGGGCGCAGCCAAAAAGGAGTAAGGAGTGAGAATCGGCTGGAATAGCTGCCTTTCTGACTGTGAGCTCATCCTCTTTTTCTGCTGGGCTTGGAGTCTCCTGTAAATCCTCTTGGTGGTCAGGATCAGGAAACAACAGCTTGCATTTGCACAACCTTATTTTGCATTGAGTCAACCACTGTAGGCTGAACAAGCACAACAAGCAGAGCCATAGATTATGGCTTAGAAACCTCAAAAGTGGGGCTGTACCACATCTTTTGAGTTCAAACCATTGGAGGGCTTAACCTAAGACATCTAGGATTGTCTAAGTCCGGCCAAAAAGCCATTGAGAAAGAAGCTTTTTTTTCTCTAAACAGGTCCCTGTTGTTTTAATCATTTTGTAATTCTGGGCAAGAACTACAATAAACAGTTTTTAGGAATATTTTTACCTGCCCAGCACAGGTGGGAATTCTGATTTTTCACAAAAATACAAGATGTCAGAAAGTTTTAGCTTTGTTTACGGTTTTTAAAGCTAGATTCCTGCTTTACTGTCTTCCCAAATCTTGTCTTTGGAAAGAGAGTAAGTTATTTTTCATTAATAGTAGTGTTTCTCAACTGTGGCCACTTGAAGATGTGCGAACTTCAACTCCCAGAATTCCCCAGCCAGCCGAGCTCGGCTGGCTGGGGAATTCTGGGAGTTGAAGTCCGCACATCTTCCAGCGGCCACGGTTGAGAAGCACTGCTTAATAAAAGGTCCTACAGATTTAGAGAATCATTTGCAGAGTTTGTTTATGGTTTATTTATTTATTTTAATACTGCCATATTTCCCAAGGATTTCTGGGGGATTTAACTGTAATTCCAACACATCAGAAGGACACGACTTGGGATCTGCACAAGGCGCCAGGGCTACTCTAAGCTATTATTTTGGAGAAGGGAGGCGGGAGGGGCTGCAATTTGAAGTGGATTGTCACTGTTGCGTTAAGAAGGCGATTTGGGCCCCTTTTTGCTAAGGGGGAGTTAAGGGGGGGATCAAAGGGCCAGATAGGAACCTTAAGCCACAGCTCTCTTGCGCCTGTTTTTCCTACCAATGAAGTAGAAAACTGCGGCTTAAAAATTAGGTGTTTTGCCACTGAATTATCCCAGTATGATCTGGAGTCATATTGGTGGCACCAAGTGAGAATTGTGCAATTTGCAGAGACACCAGAAGTTGCCGGCACCCAAGACAACCCCTCAATAAATGGAGCTGAAGTCACCCATCTTCCAGCAGCCGAGGTTGAGAAACACCGCAGTGGATTCTTTAGAGGAAAGAAGTGATCAAAGTTCAAATGGGGGTTCCTTCCTCACTCTTTTCTGAATTAAGTGATCCTTGGTGGATCTCCTGATAGAACTGGGACGTTCGTCGTCCTTGGGCCAGGACTTTTTCAGAATCGCATCTTCCTGTTGAATGATCCTTTGTCCCTTCTTTGATGGCCAGGCCTTGCAAGGGCAGAGATTGGTGTTGTGACAGTCACAAAACAACTCCATGATTGCTTATCTATGGGGGGGGGCGGTGTTTCAAGTAAGGCTGGACGTCAGAACCAGAAGAGTTTGAAGGATTTGTTATCAATGCAGGTTGAAGCCCTTCCCAGCCAATAAGCACCAGGCAGTTTGTTAGCATCTTGGCTTGTGTTTGTCTCAAAATAAAGTTCTATTTTTGTCTTTATTTGTGCCTGATGTCCTTGGATGACCGGGAGGAAAGGGAGGACTGGGAATATGACGCACCTCCGGCCCTTGCAAAAGACTGACAGCCGAGAGAAACTGTTTTGGGAAACGAATGACTTTCCTTCTGGGAAAGGAGAATTATTAAGGCTGGGGGGGGGGGCGAGATTTGCTTTTTGCACGGTGCAGACAAACAACTGTCCTTTTCGAGAGCTGCTGGTTGCTATAGCAACGACTGCCCAGTATTTCAAGCAGCCTGGAACAGCCAGAAGCAGAAGCAAGCAAGCTGGATAATATGGATGCTATCCAGCCTATGGAAATGAAAAACAGACAGGAAGGTTGCAAAAAAAAAAAAAAGGTGGGGGTGGGGGGGGAAAGCATCCCTTGGCAGCAGTTCAATGCTGAACAATCCAGGCCCTCTGAAAGAAGATGTTGTTTCTTTTGTGTGTGATTTGAGCTTTTACGGTTGTCACTAAAAAAATGCTGGCATCCAGAGCAAAACGGGGCCCGGCTTTCTGCCGATCAGCCGCTGAATCTGGAAACATCAGCCGGCATTATGACTTGCTCTCTCCTGGAAGAAAACATTTGCTGGCTTGAAGTTTTTATATTGTATTGGATGCTAAAAAAGGGGAAGGTGTGTTAATCATCCTGGGCAACCTTAGATCCCAAGGCTATGTTTCCACATTCCACCAAGCTAGGAATAAGCCAGCATTGGATGGATTTTGCAGCACACACTAATGCAGGTCAAGAGGTTATTGGAAACCATTGGTTTTGTAACACTGAAGGTTTGGGGGTTTTTTGATTATTTTTCCTAGTCCTCCCTTTTTTAATCTGACTCTGCCGGCCTTTTAAACATATTGGAGCCAAAATAAAATAAGAATTAGATGAATTACTTCCTGGTAATTATTGCTCCCTAACAGTAGAGCAATCAATCAGTGGAACAACCTGCCTCCAGAAGTGGTGAATGTTCCAATCCTGGAAGTTTTAAAGAAGGGACTGGACAGTCATTTGTCTGAAATGGTATAGGGTTTCCTGCCTGAGCAGGGGGTTGGACTAGATGACCTCCAAGGCCCCTTCCAACTCTGTAATTCTATTCATTTATTACAACTGTTTCTAAACCTTGAGGTGACTCATAACTCTATGTAGCTCTCTTTTTGCTCTTAAACTACACAAAAGTTATAAAGGGTGAAAATTTGGGGCTCTTTTTCCATTGTGACTCTTATCCTCATTTCTGGGGTCCCTCCAGTGAATACCCTCTCCACCATCACTCCCGGCCCACGAGCAGTGAAAAGTGGTGGTCTGCTCAAAAATACCATACTGTACATATAACCATAATTTATTATTATTATTTTAGTATGTATTACATTTTCAGATTTTGGGGTAAAAACAGTGAACATTTATTTTAAGCAGGGGGGGAACCTGCTCAACAGGAGCAAAAAAAGGGGGACCAGCTGAGCGCTCGCGCCTGTGTTTGAGCGCGCGCCTTTCCCCACCCAGCGCCCTCGGACCGCCTCGCAGGCTCCTTTCTGCTCGCCCATCTCGCCCGTGATTGGCTCCTCCGAAAACGCATCCCTCGGATTGGCTGAGCGGCCTGTCCTCTCTCCGAGAGGCGGGGACTTTTAAAATGTCGGCGTGCTGCGGGGCGCCGAGGGGCTCGAGGCCGGGCAGGGCGTTTGGAGCTTTTGAGGTAATTCTGGCGGAGACTTTTCTACGTTGTAGGGGGAGCGCGAGTTCTTTAGCTAAGTAATAGCTTATTGTTCTCGGGGAGTCAGGATAGCACCTGTGGTAATGGCGTGTATTCTTTGGAGTAAAACGCCAGGGGTGGCTGAGGTAAGGGTGCTTTACTCAAAGGACGCCAATACCACAGGTCACTAAAGATACTTATCTCAATTTCTCCTTCGGGGAATAAGGCAAACCGCTGGGTCTTGAGGTAATTCTAGTCCAGTGTTTCTCAACCTTGACAATTTTAAGGCACGTGGACTTCAACTCCCAGAATTCCACAGCCAGCAATTGCTGGCTGTGGAATTCTGGGAGTTGAAGTCCACATGCCTTAAAATTGTCAAGGTTGAGAAACACTGTATCTAGTCAAAGCGCAAGTTCTTCAGATTTTGGTGGAACCCGAGGTAATTCTCAGCCACGACCACCACAGGTGAATAAGAGTTAAAATTAGCTTTTTATCCTTAAAATATTGGATGATATTTTTATGTGTTTTATCTTTAGGACTGTATTATGTTTTGAATTGTACAAACTGTTGCAGCTGGGTTATGCTTGGAAGATGTGATGCTGGTATTAAACAATAAAGTGTTAGGAACTATTTTCAACTACATTTGTGATCCTGCAGTGAGGAACTTGGACCTGAAGTCACCAGGGATGATCTTTTGTAAGGAGTTGGGGTTTGGGTGTATTCAGAAATGTCCTGTTCTACCAAAATAAACTTCCAGTGAAATTATTGTTGCACTTTTCATAAAATTATTTTTGATTTGGCTTTATATCTCTCTATCCAGCAACCTTTTCTGCTGTGTCTTAGGAAAAAGATGCCATGACCTATCTGGCCACAGGAAGGCAGAATTCCTTGTTTTGCCATCGTCCGTGTCCTATTAGAAATGAAGCTTTAAATCCTGGAATTATCTTTTATATTCCTGACAGCCTCTTCTGTGGCTGCTTTGAGCTTCCATCAAAGGAAGGAAATGAAAGAATAAAAGTCACTCCAGGGCTTCTTTGCCAAATGTTACAGCACACACTGGCCACAGGAGGGCAGGCTTTGCTGCTTTGACTAAATTCAGTTTTATGGGTGTTTGCGTATTATGTATATTCCTTTATCAAAGGTGTACACTGAGTGCCCCTAGGAAAAAAGCACTGAGTTGTAGGAATCATAATAAGTCACTAGAATTCTTGATCGGGGTTGATGAAAGGTGTCCATGAGAGGGCAGACTTTCCTGCTTTTACCAGCTGGACTTGGGGTGAAGAGAATCAAAGTCCTGCCACAAGACCCTCCCACTTGCTATCAGTACAGCCTCCACAAAACAATGCAACTCCATATTTTTAACTGGAGCAGAGGCTTGGACCAGAGGAGCCGGTCAAAGGGACATTTCCCCCAAATCCCGAATTAATCACAAAACAACAGCTAAAAGGAAAATTGTTTCTCCTTTCTGTATGTTTTTCCTTCTTAACAGTGGAAGAAAATACAGTGAACAATTGCTTTGGGATAATAATAATAATAATAATAATAATAATAATAATAATAATAATAATAATAATAATAATAATAATAATAATAATAATATAGAGCTGGAAGGGACCTTGGAGGTCTTCTAATCCAACCCTCTCCCTGCTCAGGGCAGGAAACCCTATACCATTTCAGATAAATAGTTATCCAGTCTCTTCATAAAAACTTCCATTTATAGCTTCTGGAAGCAGGTTGAGAAGGACACATTTCCACAAGAAAATATGGCTAGGAAAGAGGCTAATATGTTCCCTGCCTGGGGAAAACCTAAAACCTATCACTAAACAAGCATAACACACAAGATAGTGTGGTGGAAATGTTGAGAGGGGTCACATTAAAAGTTATTAAAATCCTTATGATGGGGATATAAATGTATCGGACCTCTTTTGAAAACATTTAATTATGGCTGGGAAGAGTTCCAATAATAGAAAAAGGAAGAAATAGTTTCAAATTTGAGTCAATTTCTTTCACTGGGCAAGACACTATGTATCAGAAACTCTATTATAACATTTTACCAGAATCCCTAGAAAGCCAAGTAAAGAAACAAAGCAAAACAAACCATTCTTGGATTTTTTTTTTCTTAAAGAAAAAAAAAGACTGAAAAAAAAAATAACAAATTCAAAATAAAACCAAGGGCTGCCTGGCAAGATTGTGACAAGGTGGAGAAGATGCAAACAAAGAACAGAAAAAGAGCTTTGAATTTTAGGTGGAGGGGACGACCCACCAACCAGAAGGGCAATCTGTTGCGAGAGAGGCAATCCCCATCAACCCCCATCCCCAAGGCCGGCTAATGGGACCTGTAGTCCAAAATATCTCCTCTAGAGCTTAAAGAGGAATGGAAGAACTGTTGGTCAAAGTGAACCATTAAACACAAGCAGTCTAATACATTTAAGTTGAAATATTTAATAACACGAAAGGGCTACGTGCCCAAGTAAATCAATTATTGGAGGATCCTTTATATTAAAGCAGCCAGAAGCAGGGAAGGAATTTAGACGTTTAGAAAGTCTGCCTGCAGTTTTCCTAACACGGCTGGAAAAATGCAGCAAAAGTTCACAAAAGGGATTTATCTCGCCCAAAGGTCTGGGGCTACTACAGGCTGCTCTGTTGAACCCCAACCCACAAAGAAGCCATATTGATCCAAACAGCCAAGAATTTTGCTGCAGGATTTATTCTGGAGACCAAGGTAAAAAAGGAGCAAATCTAATGGTGTCATATTTTTTTTCCTTCCAATATCCGTTGTTTTTATTTATGGAAAAGAAAAAAGCAGAAGATCCCTGGTCAAATTCCCCCTTCTAGCCAAGGTGGTTGCCAAGCCTCACTTTGTGTGACAAACTTAGCCAAGGTTGTGCATGGATTTATTTTGATCGGGACTTGGCTCCGTGAATGCAAACACGCCTTGGCTGGTGTGCACCCCTGCTGGGTCTCTCACAGCGCTATCATGACTCTAACCTCGTTTTCGTAGAGGTCAGGAATCAGACCCAAAGGAGACTGGATCATCTTGACGCTGTTTTTCCCAAAGAGGTTGTACTCGTATTCGACCAGCTGTTCCCAGAAACCGAGATTTGGGCGGATAACGGGCCGGCAGGACTTGACCCAGGCATGGGCGTTCGACAGAGACATGGAGTGATATTTCATCAGATAGGCGATGCAGAGGGCAGCCGAGCGGCTGACACCCGCTGCGCAATGCACCAGGGTCCGGCCCTGGTTCTGTTCCACAGCGTGGATCTTATCAGCTACGGGGTCAAAGAAGTCATAAATTCGAGCGGTGGGGCAGTCCAAGACAGGGACGTGGACGTAGTAAATGTCTGGGAAATAGGTGCTGACCACCTCCACCGTGGCGTTAATTATGGTGGTGATGCGGTTCGCATAGAGGAAAAGTTTGTTGTTGGCCGCCTCTCCATTGCTGATGAAAAGGCTGTTGGTGATCCGGGATAAGCCGTAGATCGATGAGTTCCTGAAAAGGATGGGTAGGGCACCAAAAGCTGCGTTCATTAAGGCGAACTTTAGATGTCTGTTTCAGTGGAAGACATCATTTTCGCTTCAGTGATGAGCTGAGGAAAAAAGAGAAGAAGAAGGGAAGGTGGATTCTCAACCATTGATCAAAAGAAGCAGGAGGACCGTGGGGCCTTTGGTGCTCTCTGAGCTTTGCTTGTTTCCTGGCAGATGTTTCCTCACCCAAACTAGATAACATCATCAGTGCTAGAAGGGAATGGGGTTTGCAGGGAGGAGGAGGAGGGTGCTCTCTGAGCTTTCTTGTTTTCTTGTAGATGTTTCATGACCCAAACTAGGTAAAATCATTAGTGCTAGTGATGGTGTTACCTCATTTAGCACTGATGTTACCTAGTTTGGGTCATGAAATGGCTGCAAGAAAACAAGACAACTTAGCACCAAGGGCTCAACCCTCCTCCTCCTCTTCCTCCTCTTTGTAGCCCTTTGTAAGTTGAGGACTATCTGTAGGTTGCCACATCACACTAAGCCATTCTGTAATTGGTTTGCTACACATTTATATAATTTTCTTCACCCTGTTGAGTTTAACATGTCTATGCTAATCATGCCATATATGTGTGTGTTTTCAATCTGTGCTGCAAACAGTGTGATTTCCAATTTAAAACTTTAGAACCTGAAGGGTTGGTTGATTGACCATCCAAAAGACAGGTGATTAATCCATCCAGGAATCGCAAGACCAGAAGGGACATGCTGGAGATCAATTTATCTAATTTCTGCTTTCTGCAGGATTTATATGGTGAGATGGATTAATTTATTGCCAGGAATTGCTTTCACGGTGGGAAGGAAAATTGGCAAACCAAACAGCTTACAGAATTCATTTTGCTATATAAGTTACTTCTTTATCCTGACTACTCAAAGGATACATGCATTGTGGGAACACAACCCCTATTATTGGGGGCAAAGAGCCTTGTCTCACGAGACCACCTGGCCGGTACCTGCACGTCACATCAGTTCTGGGATAAAGGCCAGCAGCATCTACTGAAGTCCCCAATCAAATGCAGCCGGGATGCTTTTTCTCCTGGGACATCATAAGGGTTGTCTTCCAATAAAGTCGAAGCAAGGAAGAAAAAAAACAACACATTTGACCTATTTCTTTGTTTTTTTTCCTGCACAGTTAATTATGTATATATGTGTAGTATAAGGCTCCTTAACAGGGAGAGTAATTAACCAGTGTAATGGCTTCTCTCTGGAGGTTTTTAAGAAGAGACTGGACAACCGTTTGTCTGAAATGGTGTAGGGTTTCCTGCCTGAGCAGGGGGTTGGACTAGATGACCTCCAAGGTCCCTTCCAGCCCTAGGATTCTATGATATTTGTCTGTCTGAGTGCCGTACATTCCGCCAGTGGTTCTCAACCTCATCTATATAGAGTTATATACTGCTGCATCATCATTCAAAGCTTTCAGGTGCCCATGGACCAGGCACTAGGGAACAAATCTTTTTTTCCTTAACCTATTTTTATTTATTTCCTTTAGACAGATGCCTTTTTTTCAGTGTGGGTCTCAGCAAATAGGGCCGTTTTGAGAGTGAGCCTCACACACAGAGCCTGGCCTTTGGAAAACCCTACCTTTGCAAAGGGGCCTTCCCAGAGAAGCTTCACATGTCTTTGTCTCTCCAGCGGCGTGAAAATTTGCGAAGGGTACCTAGGAAGAAAGAAGCGTGGGGTCAGTGAGGCCTGATGTGGGGGATTCTGGGTGCTGAAGTCCAGACATCTTGAAGGAGTTAGCCAAGGTTGGAAAACATTGTTCTAAGGAGGAAGATGTTGCTGGCTCTGGGGACATTTGCTAGCTGTTGTTGCCTCCGTGTTGCATTATTACTTTTTATGCACCATGGCCCTGTGGGATCAGATCCTGTTATGGTTTGTCGTGCAAGGTGTTGTTTGGATGAAAACAAGAAGGTGTGTGTGTGTGTGTAATTCTGGGCCCAATCCTGAAATTCAGATCCTTGGTTCAGCTCTGCCTCCAGCTGCAACACCGGGATCTGGGAGGCATTAGCCAGGATCAGCATCCTCTAACCAGGATCCAGCTCCTTTGCCCGTCATCCTCTTTTCACTGGGTGCCTCTGGCCCGGTCCCGTGGTGCACCTGCAGCCAGCCTTTCTTCCCTCCAGAATAGGGAGAAAGGATAGCTTTCTTGGTGGTAGATTCCTCAGCCCATCGTCCTTGGCCATACTGGCTGGGGATATTGGGAACTGGTTCCAACGCCCCTGGGTGTCCCTTTCCCAGTGGCAGATGGACAGGCATCCCTCTCCCACCAGGATGGGGGGGGGGGCAGGCAGGCCACTTGGTCCAGCGGGTGAAGGAGGCTGTTGGGCGGATTAAGGTAGCCTGCTCTGCCCCCTGGAGGCTCCATCCCGCCCCCTCCGGCCCCGCGCTTTACCCCCGCCCGCCCGGCGCCGTCTCTCTCGCGCTCTCGCTCGGCCGTCCTCCGGCCAGCAGTTCGGGAGTAGAAGCGCCGCGCGGAGACGCCGCTCAGCCCCTGACCAGCCCGGCCGGCGGTCTCCGCGGCAACCGGGGCGCGCGAGCCCATTGTGACCGCTTTGGCCCGCTTGGCCCGGCTGAGCCAGCCGCCGGGAGTCCGGGCGATGGAGAAGGCGCCGGAGGGAGCCCAGCCCGTCGTGACTTTCCTCCAGCCCCGCGAGCATCAAGTGCTGGTGCTGTACAGGTGGGAAGGGGGCGAGGGGGTCTGGGGGGAGGCCGTTCCTCCCTCTTCTTCCTCTCCTTTTTCTCCTTCTTTTCCTCCTCCTCCTCCCTTTCCTCCTTTCCCGTCTCCCTTCTGTGAGCAGGTGCCCCACAGTGCCACATATTTAGTTTCTGAGCTTTCAATATTTATGAACTGTACTATCAAAGCTTCTTTTTTGACCATGGCCACAATAGTGTCTGGACTTTAACTCCCAGAATTCCCTAGCCAGTATAGCTACCATGAGTATTTGGGGAGTTGAAGTCCACATATCTTAAAAATTGCCAAAACAACCAACAGTGACTTAAACTGTCGGCCAAGCCTTGTCGGGCATCTAAAGGCACTCTGCACCTGAAGATCTGCAGACCTCCCCCCATCAGGGCTGGGCTGGCAACTGCCTCTGTGGTGGCATTCCAGCCTGCTGGAATGTGCGCCATACAATGTTTCCTGCCACGATGGCTTGGATGCCGTTATAGGACGTAGTGTGAGTCCGCTGTCGTAGTTCTTCCTGCCCAGAAATTCAGCGGTGGTTAAAGGTTGAACAATGGGATGTGACTGCAACAACTTGACTTACAACAATTCGTTTGGTGACAGTTCGAAGTTACAACGGCATTGAAAAAAGTGACTTAGGATCAATTTTCACACTTATAACCATCGCAGCATCCTATCACATTTATATCTCTCACACACATATACACACGCGCACACACATAAATACATTTCTATACCACGTGAGGAAAACTTAAAACTTTCCTATTTCATCCCTGAAGCTTGCCAAACTATTTATACATTTTTAGCCTTCCAAGGTGGGTAAAATTAACTGTTCAGGAAGGCTGGAGGGAAAGTGAGAGATGGGAAGGTTAGACCACCAAGCTGGCTTTGTGGTGAGGAGCACTCCATTCTTTTCCTGAAGCTGAACTGATTGTGCCAAAGTTCACACATTTTTTTTACGGTCACTCTTGCGATTGTGGCCAATAGACCTTTGTGCTGCCCTTCTAACCAGCTGACTTCTTCTCCAGTCAGCAAACTTGTGGCGAAGCTGCTTTGAAGAGATTTCTTCCCAAAAGTCACCTGGCTAAAGTGATCATCCAGGACAATGTTAGTGTTCAGCGGATCCAGGAGATTAAGGTATGTTTTTGAAACTTCTTGCATGAATTCTGCTAGGATCAGGAATTAGAGCATGCCAGAAATACAGCAAAACGGAGCCTCCACAGGCAGTATATCCCCAGGTCAAAACTCTAAGGATAAATGGGGTACATCTCTTCATGATCCCCACTGCTGAATGAATTCTGCTGGAAATTAGGTAGGGAAATTTTGGGTGGACTTGAATCTGCTCTCATGCTTTTAACTTTGAGCATTGCTCCTGAAAGCTGGGTTCATGAGAGCAGCTGAGTATGCATGTTAATCTGCACACACAGATTATCTGGACTGATTTGCTGGCTTCTGCTTTCCTGCCCTGGCTTCCTTTGCTGACTGGTTTTTTTTTTTCCAGGTCCAGCAAATCGAAGGTCGGAAAAAGAAGGCGGAGAATCTATTTGATCAAATGAAAAGGAGATTTCTCCAGAACCAGCAGAAAAAGACCTTCCGTTGGAAGAAAGAATATAGCTATTACCAGAAGATGTTGGAAGAGATCGATCAGCAGAACGTGTTGCGAAAATTAGGCACAATGTTTACATCGAAGGAAAGTCCTCACTCCTCTTCTGCACCCTGGGGGAAACCCGGGACCACCTCAAGCCGACTCAGATAACTGGAATCACGCTGGGGAAATGGCGTTTACGGAGACATTTCATCAGAATAAAACTGTGTTGAAAACCAGATCCAGTGGCTTGGTTTTCTTGACAAAAAAAAAAAAAAAAGCCTTAAAGCCAGGCTAGCCAAGCTAAATAGCTCTGTCATCCCAGGGTAACAGAATAATAGTTGGAAGGAACCTTGGAGGTATATCCATCAGAATAGAAGTGGAAGGGACCTTGGAGGTCTTCTAGTCCAACTCCGTGCTCAGGCAAGAAACCTTACACCATTTCAGATAAATGGCTGTCCAATTTCTTCTTAAAGACTTCCAGTGTTGGAGCTTTCACAACATCTGGAGCTAGGTTGTTCCACTGATTGATTGCTCTCACTGTCAGGGAATTTCTCTTTATTTCTAGGTTGCTTCTCTCCTTGATGAGTTTTCATCCGTTGCTTCTTGTCCTGCCTTCAGGCGCCTTGGAAAATAGCTTGACCCCCCCCCTCTTCTTTGGGGAAACCCTTCAAATATTGGAAGACTGCTATCATGTCCCCCCTAGTCCTTCTCTTCATTAGACTGGCTATCCCCAATTCCTGCTTTGCTGCTCTTCTCTGCACTCTTTTTAGAGTCTCAGCATCTTTTTTACATTGTGATGATGACCAAAACTGGACACAGTATTCCACTTCCGGTAATGGTGGGAAGTTTAATCAGCCGGACCCAGAAGGCACACACCCTCCTGAGGGCAGGAGATGGGCAGAAAAAGTGGAGATAAGTGGTATCTCAGCCTGCCAGGCCCTGTACTTAGAAGAGGAGAACCAGCATCTTGCAAAGAAACTGGCTGGCCAGCAACACAGCCGATCAATCAGTGGGATCAAAAATGGGGTGCCCCACGCAGCATCCACCCCATCACATTCGAGGCCAGCTGAAGCTTCTGGATGGTCTTCAAGGTCAGCCCCACGAAGAACCCATTCAAATATACAGGTGGTCCTCGTTGAGCAATGACAATCAGGACTAGTAACGTGGTTCTTAAGTAAAGCGGTCACTGAGCAATACCGACCACTGTTTCCAGCCGTGAAGTCATAAAGTCGCCAAGTTTGGACAGTCCTGCTCTGGTTGAAAAACTAAAGCGGGGTCAGGGCTGCTTAGTCCTGGGAAGGGAGACCACGAGGAGATGCCTGATTCCCCCCTCCTTGCCTCCCACCCCCGCTGGAAGGCGAGATAGGAAGCTATGGGCCAGGTGCTCTTCCTTTCCAGCGAGGCAAGGAGAGATTTGCAGCCCAAAGATGCTTTTTTTCACGACTTTCTTTTCTTTCTTTTTTTCCCCCTCTGAAGACGTTTCGCTCCTCATCCAAGAAGCTTCTTCAGCTGAGGCGCGCCGGACTTCAACTCCCAGAATTCCCGTGACGCGCCGGCTGGCTGAGGGGTCGCTGGGAATTGGAGTCCGCCCGGGCGGGCTCGGCGGCGCCGCCCCTCGCGCGAGCGGCGGGGGGGGAGGAGGGGGCGTGTCCCGGGTCACGTGCCACCCCGGCCCCTCCCCAGCCCTGGCGACGGCGTCGAGCGCGGCGGGGGCGGCTATGGGCAGGGTGGCATCTCTGCTGTGCAACGACGGCGCCCGCGGGCTGGTTCGCTGCTGGGCGCCGTGCAGTGTCTGGTCTGCAAGCAGCCGCCGCCGCCCCGGGCCCCGCCGAACGCCGCCGCCGCCATGAGCCTGGCCGGGGACAGCTGTCCCGCCGCCGCCGCCTCCTCCTCCTCCTCTTCCTGCTCGTCGCTGGCCGGCGGCTCGGACACCTACAAGGGCTGGCTCTTCAAATGGACCAACTACCTGAAGGGCTACCAGCGCCGCTGGTTCGTGCTCAGCAACGGGCTGCTCAGCTACTACAGGTACCCCTGCGCCCATGCTCCCCCGCCGCCGCTTGGGAAGCCGGTGCGCAGCTCCCTTGCTGACTCGGGGGTGTTTGGACTTCTGCTCCCATCGTCCCCTCCCAGGGTGCTGGCCTCAGCTCCCATGGTCCCAGCTTGGCAGGGTTGGACTTCAGCTCCCATCGTCCCCTCAGTGTGGACGGGGCATCCAAGAGGACTTGGACTACAGGTCCCATCCTCACTCTTCTCTGCAGACCAGCTGCACCAGCAAGCTGTCCCTTGGAAGGTATGGAGGACATCTTCCATCATCCACAGCTAGCCTAGGGAGGCTGTTCTCCGCTTCAGATAGGCTGGATTCCAGGGTTCATCCTCTTCCTGCCTATTTTCTGCAACACTGGGGCAGCCAGAGCCTGCGTGCCAGATTACCCCCAGTGCCACAAGTGTTGGACTACAAATCCTACCATCCCCAGCCTACCTTTCTCGTCTGCTGTTCCACCAACCATAAAACTGCAGTTCCCATCATCCTTAACCCCATACAGACGTGGAGCATCTGGATGCTGGGGAACAATTGGCTGTACAATTGGGAAGTGATGGGAACTGTAGTCCAAAGCGCACCCCCATTCGGTAGCTGAAGAATGTTTGGGGTGCTGGAATACTACATAGATTCCGGTAAAGTTAGTCTTGCTCTGCTGCAAAGCATATTACGGTAACTGCCCTCCATTATAATGCATTGACAGCTTCCAAATATTTATTTACTTGGAACTGCACCCCTTCTGTCCCAGTGACATAAATTCCTCCTGTCTCCCCCCCCCCAGCCTCCCCATTGTCTCTTAACACCTAGCAAGGGAGTTTTCCCCCCCCAAGAAGCTTTTTTCTACATATCTTGTAGGTAGTTTTGTACGCCAGGATATTGTCTGGTGCTCAGTTCCTCTAGCAAGGCCTGTGTGTGCAGATGTTGTGTGCAGTGGGGAGGGGGGATGAAAGGTTTTGCTGGCAAGGTTGTGTTCCTTGGTGGATCCAGTTTATTTGCCTTCTGATGCTGTGCCACCGTCCCAGCTGCTGTAGGTGCCAAGGGCATTTAAGAACGGGGGCACATGAAATATGTATGCCCTACGTGCTGTACTCTTTAACAATCTGACATAACCAGTTGCTGGAAGACAAGAATGCAACGAGAGCATCATCGTGTCTTCTGTCCCAAATCCAGTTGGGCTTAAAAGCGCCTTTGTTTGGCTCCCACACTTGGTGTCTCTGGGGTAAGGTTAAAGCAATCAAGGGAGGATGAAGGAAAGAGGGAGGAAAAAGAACTGGTTGGGGGGTCAAGGTTGATTTGAAGGAATTTAAAAAAAAAAGACATTTAAGACTTAGTTGTTGGCAGTTACCAGACAACTTTCCTGTCTGTGAGTGGAGTTCATAGACTTTTTGGAAAAAATAAATCATTTATTTCAGTTGTGTAAACTTACAAAGTCGTAAGGCCCAAGGAACATTCCCCCCCCCCCCGCACTTCAGGATAAAACCGGGCTTTGGATCTGTTAATGAAAAAAAAAAAAAATACAGAACATCTTGCAAGCTTTCCACTCCAGGATGATAACTATTTGACACACATATAAACTGGTTGGAATTCCTAGGAAGGAAATGAAAATTAAATTGCGCTCCTCTAAAAATATTTTCTAATTTAATATTTCCTCGGGGTCTTTTATAGTAGTCTTGGGGACATCAAAGCAGCTTAGAAACAGATTAGAAAATTTGCATTCTGCAATTGTCTGATTGTTCCCTGGGACTTCTAAAAACTGTGTCTTGAACCAACTCTTTCTGGCTTGGGACTTTTTAAAGGCACTGTATTTTTTGAGTCCAGTCTTGTTATTTCTGTCTCAGGAATAAATCCTTGAGAGGTTGGCCACAGTGGCTGGCTGTTAAATTGGTTTTGTCTATCATCATATAGCTGAATCTGTGGAGCGGCAAAGTTAAAAAAAAAAAAAAGAGTACAGTAAATAATGAAAAAAAGATGACAATTTTAAAACAAACATTAAAAGCAGTAAAACCGTTAAAACAGCAGGAGAGCAGATTCCCCAACAATAAGTTTTAAACGAGCGTCTTGGAGATATCTCAGTAACTGCCCTGATTTTCTGGGAATCCGATGGCATATACATTCAATAAATTATGATTAAGGACAAATTTGCTGGAAAACAGTATTTAAAACGTTGCAAAGGTGAAGGAACATCCTGTTCCTTTGCTTGCATAATGCAAAGCAAAGGGCTTACATACCCACAAAATGGAAATGTTCTTAATCACGTGCTTCATAGGAGAAATATGTTTCTAAGCTCTTTCTGTTGTGGCCGTCAGTGGTTTGCTCCAGTTCTGGATGTGATTGGCTAATTTGAATTCGCTTTTTCTTTTTTTGCCCTGTCAGAAAGCTTGATTGTTAATCTGATGGGACTTGACTGCTCCGGCCTTATTTTGTAGCTTCGTTCTAAAATGTGCACACACCATCCCTTTTATGTAATCAGTGCATTAGCAAAATAAGGTCTCCTTGCCTTCCCTCTTTCTGAGTGCGAAAGCTGTCAGCGTTCAGTTCACAGTGTCAGGGGCACAGAAAGATATTGCAAACCTATACTACTAAATGACAATAAAGTCCTTACTTTCCAGCTGTCAGAGGTTTGTATCGGGTGAGAGTTGTTGAAAAATAGCCTAAGGGCTATTGCTAGTCATTCAGGACTACCTGTAGAACACCTGGCACTTATAGAAACAGGTATTTGAAAGAGGAATAAAAGAATAGTTGTAGCTCAGGGTTGACATGAAGGGGTCTGGGCAGAGCATTTTTTAATTTCTGTCTGGGGCACAGAGGCATTGTGGGAAATAAAGTTGAGGTGGGTGCTCAGCTTTGCAACAAGGCTGCCTCTTCGCTGATGTTTTTAGAAACAGAAAGCCCGAGAGATGAACAAAAGAGGCTTTGATTTGTTTCCGGTCACTTTAATGCTCCATTGTGAGTGAGTTGTGAATGCCAGTTGTTAGCGAAGCTTCGTCCTTTTCTCCCTCTCAAATGCATGTCTAGGACAGCTGATGCCTCCTCCTCCTCCTCTTGATAGCAAAGTTAACTTGATGCATTTTGGAAAGACCCTTATTAAATCATGTGAGCTTTCTTTAGGCTTTTTTTTTTAATTAACTGCAATTCTGAAGAACTCTCTTCAAGCTGTCTATTGATTCACAGGCCTTGTCCATAAAACATTTTGAACTGGA